GTTTTGCCATTGCCTTCTTCTGTGTGTGTGAATGGAGTAATTGTTGGGACGCCACGGAGAAACCGGGGAAGCCCCCGGAGGAAAACTCCGTGTTGCCTAGACCACGGCCTTGCCCAACACAAGTTATAAATTCGGGCACCGCCGGGAATCGAACCCGAGACCCCAGGATTACAAGGCCAGCGTTCTAACCGCTAGACCACCGTGGCTATTAATACTGGGATATAATAAAAACAAACTCGGATAGCAAAAGCGCGTTCTGTGTAGGCCTATTTCATTTGCGAAAGACGGAATGCGTTTGATGTCAGGGGCAAGGCTGTCTAGTGTCAATGGCAGGGCCGTCGCAACTGCTTACCTGCTGTTCAGATGTGATGTGTACGGTGAGAATTGTGTGGCTCCGACTGGAGTAGTCGTTCATGTTGTGTCGTCCCACGGATCTGTTTCTCATTCCTACAAACGCCCACACAGAGGAGTATAAGTTTACATTCCGCTCCCGCCAAATACCTTTTACGTCAAGGATCCGTGATGTAAGTGAAATCACGACGCATTTGATACACCAGTAAATATGGTTGCCTTTTCAGGCAATGAACACGTCGACAGTAGAGATTTCAGTGTTTACATCTGCCACGAAATAAATCAGTGGTTCTAAGTGGCACAAATAGAAAGAGATTACACAGAAGTGAGAAGACAAAAAAAGTAACATAGACCTTGAAAGAGACAGAAGAAAAGACGACGAGAAAAATATACATAAATAAATTTTTTTAAATAATAATAATGCCATATATATCCAGGATACTATCTTTGCTAATACTACGTTAATCTCACTTTCACAGATTATACCTCGTTAGCACAAACGAGACTCTGGAGACCGAGTCGGGGTAGATTTAAAATTAAGAGGAATAACTAACCCTCTTCGAGGACAGCCAGAAGGTCGTCCAGCTCCTCGCAGTCCACAGTGAACAGGTTCTCTACGAAGAAGCCTCTCGACTTCTTTGACCATCGGACAGCCAGCGGTTTCCTTGCTGTGCCGATATTCAGAAGGTCGATCACCTGAAAAGACATTTCGTGTCCCTCTGTCACTTTATTGTCACGATCCACTCACAATTCTATTTCCTGAGCCTTTTGACTTATTCTTCACATACGGTACGTTCTAAACGTCTAGCCAATCTAATTCCTCTTAGAATCATCGTAGGAATACTGATATTACGTATAGATGAAATAAATAATTTTAAATGTAAATCTTCTTCTACTCCTGCTTTGTTCTATTTTACATTTTAATACCAGAAATAACACTAACCTCAAATTAATCATCCATTCGAAAATACTAACATAAATAATTATTAAAGTTCGTTCGCTTTTCTGGAACTGCATATTTATTGCGACATTTCAATGTTGAATTCAATCAGTCCTGTCAATCTGAGTCCCTTAATTATTCCCACAAACTGGAATGTCAAGATCCTTCAGCGCTCTGTGACGTCCTTTCAACTTCACAACCAAAGCACGCGAATGTTCCGAACGTCCAGAACTGCTTACGTCACTGGTTCTCAAACTGATTCACAAAACTAAATTAATTATTGTTGTTAAAACTACGTGACAAAACTATCCATGTTCAATTTTGGGGGGGCAGAACCTAAGTTACAAGAGATTAAGGACGAAGTACCCAAGAAAATACTTGAACCTGAAAAGGATGAAGTGAGTAAACAATTGAATAACGATGTATACGTGCAATCTAGGAAATTACGATGGGTTGGCCACGTAGCTAATCTCTTACCCATTTATTTGGAACAGGACAATTAAAAACTAATCATCATCAACGTGCAGAAAACAATCTTCTCGTAAACGAATCAACTCTGACAAAATAATTACGTTTAAAATTGGGTATTCATAAAACGAGCAATGTTTAACAAATATAAATCTACATTAAAATTCGGCAGAAAAACTTAAAACGAGTTTAAGATAAACTCATTTTCCCCGGCATAAGTGAGAAAATGTCGCCTTCGATTGGTTAGCATTTCTGTTTCATATTCGAAAGTTCCCGTATTCAGATTTCGATCCGTGATTTTCCTCAGTCCATCCAGACACACGAGTACCGGACATTACATTAAATAAGGCTACGACAGCTTTTCCCACATTCTTTCCAATACACTATGCACCGTCTTGTAATCTAAACTACTGATGGCGTAGTTAAATGAACATCAGCATTGACATTCGATATGACATCCAGCGACATCTGAACGAATTCCAAATTTGTAACAACGAACTTGAACAGGAAATTGTTGGGACAAACGAGCGTCGCGGCACGCAAGTTGAGAAACATTTCGCCAACCAATGCGTCCTGTTAAAGCCTGCTGCTCAAGTATTGACGGCCTGCCTTTCGGTCATGCAATCGTCACGTTAGACACACGAATGTGACGACGTCAAATATTTATTATGCTGTAACAACGATGTCCACGTGAAAGGTCACAATCCAATCGCACGCACTCAGTAAACACGACCTCCTCTTTCGCACCCTGAAGATGACAAAGTTCTGGAAACTGTAGGAAGTTCCTGAAGTCATCAAATGACAGAGGCTTACTTTTCCGGCCGTAGGTGTTGTCCCACTTAGCTAACTGCTCTGTAAAGATTTGATCTTTAGGGGAAAACTGTTTTAGACAGCAGCCATTGGCTGAGGCATTGCTAACATTAGTGTCATTATTCATAAAAATAGACATATCTGCGTGTTTAATCTCTCGCCTTAATGACTTTCAAACGAAGTGGAAAATTTTAACGATGATTCTTATAAACACCGTGTCATTAAAAGGTGAACGTTACCTTCTCATTATATATCGATTCTTATAAACTCCGTGTCATTAGGTGAACGTTACCTTCTCATTATATATTTCTAGGAAGGAAGCCTTCAGTATGAAGTGAAAGTCACTCCGTTGTTTCAGCAGTTCAAACAGGTACATGAAGGAGCGGAAAACGAGGCCGTGGTCGTCCGAGTACGGGTCTGGATTCTTCTCGAACTGCAGAACACAATCATAAATTCAGATGTACACTATCGAAGGTAGACGTTAAAATGTTTCTGCAAAATAACATCCTGTCGCTATTAAATAAATTTTCTAAATTATAACATCAAAACCACATAATGAAACAGTAAATATTCATATATCATTAATAATTTTGTAAAGTTTATACTTAGTATAGGCCAATTAAAATGTTATTGAAATTGATTTGACGTGTAATTCGATGTCCCTAGATAAGATCGTCTTACTCAATGGACGGGCTGATCGTTGCTTACCAGTCCAGGGGGTCCAGTGAGAGTGTGTGTCTTTCCGCTCCCGGTCTGGCCGTAGCAGAAAGCTGTGGTGCTAAAACCTTCCACGGCCATCTCGATAAGCCGTTTGATTCCAGAAAAATGAAGTACGTCTTCTTGCGAGGCTCCGGGTTCGAACACCACATTGTAGGAAAACACTCTGGGCTTGGGATGACCTGCTCCTACAGGACCAAGCTGCAAGAGCGATGTCGGGACAATTATAAATACAGCCTTCCAGTTATACTACCCTCACTAGTTTCCGCATTATGGAGAGAATGAGAGCATTTGAGATACTTAGAAGTAAATTGGAAAATAATATTAAAATGGTCTTAGATGCATAGGATGTGAAGATGTGGACTGAATTAAAATGTTTTCAGGATAGAGTCCAATGGCGGTCTTTGGATAATACTGACACGAGGTTTTCAGGGCGGTGAGTCTGAAGATGGCTGTCTCCTCGGTCGTTGCGCCGCGTAGTTTGGTAGAAGTTTACCGATGTTTCAGAGGTCCTTCCTGCCTCCATAATCAGGGAGATAATCCTTATGATGGAGCAACAGGGACCCAGCTACAACCCAGAAGATACATCCTTATGATGGAGCAGCAGGGACCCAGCTACAACCCAGAAGATAGCCACCTTCCGACAGAAACTGTTTCAATACAATAACAGTTAAAAATCGTCTTACTAATATTTGTCCATTTCCTGGATACTGGATGACAGATTCGTCGCCAATTTTTGTCTCCTTAGTGTTCAGTGGCCGAACTCTGAAACAAAAGAACAGGATTAGTGAGTGACGTTGCCCTGTAACAACCAACAAAAGCTGACCGACCGTCGAAGCGATGTCACGTAACCATCCGACACAGACTTTTGAAATATCACTTCAAGCGGCCCTCGGATAGCTACAACACACGAACGGAAAAATTTTGACATTTTCAATAACTTTCCCCCACTGGGCAATAATTTCAATTGCAGAACATATCTATTTTATTTCTGAAATATATTCCAGGCCATTTAAGTGCGAATGCAATGAAGCTCCAAAGAGAGGATTTTTAATAAATTTTGATACAGCGTAGCTTTACTAGAGGGTGACAGCCCTGATAATGGAGACAGAAACCACCTCTGAAACGTCGGTAAGCCTCTACAAAATTACGCGGCTCAACATCCCAGAAGACAGTCATCTTCATGATCGTCGCCGTGAGGACCTGAAATATCCCATCGGGACTATGAATTCGACAGGCCTGCTCAACAGTCTGCAATGAGACAAGACTAACTAACGAACAAGGGCAGGCCTTACCTAACAACCACGTTTATATTGTCTTCGGGTGAGAGCACGTGGTTTCTTACTGGTGGTTGGCTGCCTGCATCCAGACGCTCCGCGACTTCGTTCCTGAAACAAACACAGCATCAAATCACCCTTAGTTTATTTAACGAACCTATGACAACTGATTGGGTTATTGAGCGTCTAATGGTAGGATAATTGTGAATGGTGGATTTAAAGACTAAGGTATGTGTTCCGATGGAGAACGTTAGGAATTCTTACGCGTAACACTTTACAGGGGAGACGGAAAGTAATGATACTTTGTATTAAACTTGGACTCCACACATTTTGTATTATATGAATATGCTGCCTCCTCTACAATGGGTACCGGGGTCCTTTCCCGGGGGTAAAGCCGGCCGGGGCGTGATGCTGACCACTCACCCCCCCATCTAGTGCCGAGGTCAAGGAAGAGAGGAGCTATACCTCCACTCCCCCCCAAGCGCCTACATGACGTATAGTGGGACAAACTTTACTTTATTTTAATCACAGTAACAGAAATTATACTCCACAATCACCTGCAACATGACCGACATAAACATACAACAGTACAAATAACATAAATGTAAATAAAACTTTTAACGTAGTGGTATTTTTCAGTAACTCTGTATTTTACTAAAAACAGAACGACTGTATTATTTACAAAGCATTCGAAATTATTTTTTTGAATAAACATCATGACATTTAAAAATACGAAACAGTCACAAATTGGACTAACATTGAGGATACTTAATAATAAATATAATAAAAATTTAAATACCCCTGGTGGGACTCGAACCCACAATCCCCGGTTTAGGAGACCGATGCCGTATCCATTAGGCCACAGGGGCTTCGAAGTAATTCGCTCCGCAACCTCGATGTCTGCTGACTTCAGCTGACTCACAGCATAGACAACCTCTAACCTTTGTTGGAAACGAATCTATCTGCACTAAATTTATTGCAATAATAGTTTTGAGCTAATGTTGGAGACATTACTAGCTTTATTCCATTTTACCATGCGGCTTGAGCAGCAGTGCCAATATAAAGTAATGTCTACAACAGAAACACATCATTTCATGTATATTTTGAATTTTATATTCATTTAAACTGTATAATTAGAATGTTCATACCGCAATGTATATAATTTTTTATTACAAAACTTGATGTCAAGCCTTTCCTAGCAAAAATCAGAACATTTCAGGGATATTATATATTTCTATTTCCTTTCCCTCATTTTGAAATATATTAATAGACCTGCTCTGATCTATGTATTTTAGGTAATTTTAACCATAATGTATGTACATGTAAGTGAAATTTGCTTTAAACGCAATATTTGTTAAGACTGCTAAAAGTCTCTGAATAACGGATTAAATCTTTCGATGGAGAAATACATCGTGCCGGTATATTTACACAAAATATACCTCATTAGGACACTGACTGCACTTTTTCAATCTGGTAACATTTTTTAATAAATATTTAATATCATCATCCATCATCGTCTCTGCATGCTTCATAAGACAACAATAAACACCAACTGATATTTACCTTTTGTTTAATTCATATGTTCTAGGGCATTATTTGAGAAATTTCTTTGATATGTTGGCAATATTGAAGTGAATTCTTCAGAAGACTTTGCTTCTGGGACATTGACAAGGGAGGCACAAAAGACCTTTGTTGATACGAGGCCACGCTTTATACGTTCGTACCCACAAGCGACTTCTCCGTTTGAGGACTTTCACACTCTGACCCAAGGGGAGGTTGAAAGAATAGAGTTATCGGGTCAGACACCTCCTGAAAATAATGGGTCAGGCCCTCAATGTTGCCCGCCACGTTTCGTAGGGGTTACCGACACCAGCAAACAAATGACTACTTGCTGGCACTTAATTGTAACATAACTTAAGTGTCAATCACTGTAAATCAGTGAATACACATTTTCCTTTTTCTACGACATGAATATTTTCAGATTTACTATTCTTCATAAAATGCAATGCAGAGGAATAACATTCCTACTGATTCTATTTTAACTTCAGATGTTAAAATTTTCATGATTCGGGAAGGAAATAAAATTAATAAGTATGTCGTCCACTATTTGACTCAGGAAAACCAAATCTCTATCACCCTAGAGGATTTTTTCATCCGGATTCGAAAAAGTATCTCTCGTATATGGACCTATGTAAATACATTTTCACTGTGCATACAAACACAGTTCGTCTCAGAATGATCGGTAGTAATATACTTGTAAATTTCTGCCTTGCAATAAGTGGTAACGTTAAAACCGAACTGATTTCGTCATTTATCTCATAACCACAAAGAATATATACAGCCTTGTATACTTTAACGTTCTGCTGCCAAGTTTTTTCAGTTTGTCCCCGAGCTAAGACAATATTTTCACCACAACTTCTCTGGTCACAAACACAGGATGTATCAAAAAGACGTTTACACAACAGCAACTAATTCACTGACGTACGTACACAAATGTCTATTTCATTCATTGAATGCGTGTATATAATTTCTGGTACGCACTGTTTATGCAAGCCATCTAAACATATTTATGTATAGTTCTAAACCGAGGCTTCCCGAATATGAACCAAGGACTGTAATCACCAGAACCCGATTTTTATGATACTTTACTCTATCCTGTTATTTATTTAGTGTTCTGTCTGACGACAGGTCCATATGAACAGGATCCTTCCATCCTTTTCTCTTCTCGGACTGGGACCTGTTCATATACGTTCTTGGCAGATGATCCAGAAGTGGTTTGCCATTGCCTGTAAGATAGTCGGAACGAGTACGTATCTGCTCACATCCATCCAGTAATTATGCTAAATAATGGATTGAAATTTAGGAATACAGCTGCTACAGTTATTGTTCTTGTGAAATGAGAAATATTGATTAATGATTAGCTGTTGATTGGAGAAACGGAGTTCTAGACCCGCCCTCGGACTATCAGCCCTTCCATCACATATCAAGTAATTTTTCCACAGACCGGAGCGCTAAGTTAATCGCCCTTGTCAATCTGGTAACGAGATTACTAACGTGTTCATCTTTACACATTAATTCTTATTTTACATGGATTCGTCTAAATAACGTTACATTTATTATGATCAAACTTTTTAAAGCAAATTTTGAATATATCTCTAACTAATGTTAATCTCTCAGATCAATAGGACTCATTAAATATGATAGTATATTCAGCCAACTGTTTACACGCCCCATGTTACACGACAGTTACATCGCTATTTGTCTGACCTAACAGAAAAGCTACTTGATAACAGTGAAAAATAACAACGCCTTCAGGCAAAAAACAGCATTACGAGGTGAGTTACAGAGTACTCGGTACTGCGTATTATTTGTTGGAACTGAAAATGGATAAATTAGTATTAACTTATTTTTTATTTTATTTATTTAGTGTTCTGTCTGACGACAGGTCCATATGAACAGGATCCTTCCATCCTTTTCTCGGACTGGGACCTGTTCATATACGTTCTTGGCAGATGATCCAGAAGTGGTTTGCCATTGCCTTCTTCTGTGTGTGAATGGAGTAATTGTTGGGATGCCACGGAGAAACCGGGGAAGAAGCCCCCGGAGGAAAACTTATAGAGTACTTCATATTAACCTCACCATGTAGATTAAAGCACTTCAGGAAACGTAGAAGTCATACGTTCTTCACAGAACTTACCGGGTAAATTGTTAAACAAATTCGCGGAAAGTTGTAGGTTATTTGTATTTAGAATTGCATGAAACAGTGTAAGAAATATAAACACCTATGGTACATTACTGGCGTCACTGGAACAAATCCAGAATGACGTTATAAATGTAAGAGGCGATACAACGATGTTATAAAGGAATTGGAAATGAACTGTGACCATCCATCACAAAATTCCCCGTTGTCCGTTTATTGACATCGATGGGAATTGATTGTGTTTAACATTTTTCCATGCATGTCAGTATCTTGCTTGTATCTTACAAGCGTAATATGCAACAAAATCAACCAAAATACAGGAAGAAATAACACATAATATAGAGAAACAGGTTTAATTTTGAAATTAAAAATCACTCTTGGTAATATTTACGACAGAGATCCTCTTAATAAAGTTTTTGTGCGTTGTAATGCACCTTTACTTAAAACATTTACAATTCAGAGATACGAAATTAATGTAATGCACCCATATATCTTACGGATATGACATAAAACGATTGTAATTTAAAACAATAGAAAAGATTATACCTTCCTGATTAGGAGAAAGATAAAGAGGTAAACTGAAGCTGCCCCAAATTTACTAGATATTCATAAAAATTACAATGGACATCATAGGTCTAAGAGACCATTTCACTTCTCTTCTTTTCAATTACATTCGCGCATGCACAAATTTTATAAAAAAGGCTGAAAAAATGTAATCCGTACCGGAACACACACACATGCGTGCGTTCTTTCCAAATTCTCAATTCTGCAGATAGCTAGAACAGTTTTCAAAACAGAATTATTAATAATATATTTCGTGTTATATTTATTTCCACCTATATAATCACGCGTTCTTAATTTCGTCTGTAAAAATGCGAATCAACACAAATACGCCACGAGACTCATCAGTTCTGCGGTGCATACTGGAGCTGGTGTCATGGGTTCGAAACCTGATCGAGTCAAACATTCCCCTTCCCCGCAGCCGCCATGCGATTATCATACATCATGGAAAGAATTACTATTCTAACGTTTTGTAGTTTTAACTTTTCACAAGTTGGTAGAGCGACTTGAAGTGTGGTAATTAGACTACTGCAGTTGATTGAAATTAAGCCTTGTCGGCATCTGCTGCAGGACGTCAGTAGCATCGCCTGATGGTTTTCAAGGTCACAGTAAATGAAGCCAATTAGCGGTAACACCATTATCGTCTAAAAGGTTAAGTCTATATCTAGCTGACTGCATGAAAAATGTCCAATATCCCTTAACGCCAACAGTGTTACCACAGCACGGAGAATCAATTGTAGCCCAATTACTTATTCTCCGCGCTTATTTTAAAACGCTGTTTCAACAGCAAAGCGTCGAATGAGGCAAGTAGATGAACTGAATGATAAGTATTGAACGGAAGGAGACGTTT